TTTACAAATAATAACTAATACTTTATTATTTTTTCATATTTAGCATATAATAATATTTCATCCGTCCACTTGAAAATTAACATTTATTTTTTACGTATTAATCTTTAAATATGAATTATTATATAAGAAACGTAGTACCAAAAAAAAGAAAAAGATAAAAACGATTTATATTAGTATTTTATAATACAAACATAATAATATTTGTATAATATACTATATAAATATAAGAATATTATTAGTATTAACTACAATGATGTAAAATGTAAATATAAACTTATTAAGTAAACAAAAATAATACTTTTTATTAACATTTTATATATTATAACGATTTATTATACATTTTGTATAACTAAACAAAAAAAATTTAGATAAATTTTAAAAGTTGTATTAGTAAAATAATTATTTTATAATAAAAATAATTATAGATTAATATTAAAATAATTAAATAATTTAATTAACATTAATAAAATAATTATTATATAATAAAAATAATTATATATAAATATTAAGATAACTAATTTAATTAAAATTAAAAAACATAAATTAAAAAATTTAAAATATGAGTAAAATATATAATTATATTTTCAAAATTTCAAATAATAAATTATATAAAACTAAAAAAAAATAGAAAAAATAGACACATTACGAGAAAGGAAGTATTATTTATAAATATTATAATAATTTATATAATATAAATAATTTATAATTATTTTATCATAATTAATCAACTTTAAATTTGAATAAATATTAAATAAATATATAATTTACTATAAAAATCAATTACAAAGTTATAATATAAATATATATACATAAATTATTTTATAAATAATAAAAACAAAATTAATAAGATAAAATAGACAAAAATGTACTCTCTTCGTCCCATTTCAATTGTCTTTATTTTCTTTTTTGTGTGTTTCATTTCAATTAACATGTTTCTATTTTTGATTAAGTAAACTACTAAGGGTGTGCTTGTTTGGGAGATTGAATTTTGAGTTGGAGATTTAAATAGTAAAAAATTTGAATTGTAATAGTTGTATGATGTGATATAAATAGGTCTTAACGTGATATTTTGAATGTAAAATTAATTTCTTGTATAATATAAAAATAAAAAATTGGTGTTTGATTTGATATTTTTAGGAATAAAATTTTTGATAAATAGTAGAATTTGGGGATTTCCCCCAAACGAACACACCTTAAGTATACTTAATAAATATTAATCAACTTAATTAACTTTATAATATATAATATCACATATCATATAAGACTCATCTCAAAACCCCTTTATTTATATTCATCTCCTTAATAAACAAATATTTTTATTTACCTTCTAAATTCACCAATTCTTATAAAATTAATCTATCTTAATTATAAATAAATAAATATATTTTGTATTATTTAAAATTTTATTCTATCAATACTACATATATTTTATTGAAATATAATATTTAAAAAATTTAAACACATATTTTGAATTTATTTTAATTATATATATTAAATTTTATTTTAAAATTACTAATAATACTATTCATATAAAAATATAATAAAATAATATTATAATTCACTATTATTAACTAATTAAAACACGTTACTTTAAATATCATATTCCAAATGAAATGAGTCATTTTAGATGCAACAGTGAGTATTTAAAAAAAATAAAAATTATAAAGAAATAATGAAACACACCCTCCCGGATGGAAGGATGAAATAGTGAATTTTGCAAGGTCGGTTAGATGATCATTTCATTGTCACATTGCAAATTTGGATGATTTCGTGAATATTGAATTCTATTTATATGTATTACACTACATAGATAAAAGGAGAGTCTTGTTTAATAATCCACTCACAGCTCGTCACATCAGCCAATTAATTGGAATTTTCAATCATGCCCTTGCACTATAAGATATCCACCTTCACTATTTTATGTTCATGTCATTTTTTTTTCTTTGTTATATACTGATGACTCCTTTACTTAACAACACGGTATTTTAGGCAGTATAAATTAGTAATTTATTAATAATAAGTTATGATATTATTTTATTATTTTTATATGGGTAATTTTGTTGGCATTTTAAATATTTTTAGCATTATATATCAATAAAATATATACAATATAAATATCATTTTGTAGAGAATAAAATTATATATAATACAAATAAATAAATAAATTTATTTATTTATTTATAATTAAATTAATACTAATTTTATTTAAAATAATAAGTTTTAAATATAAATAAAAATATTTATTTATTGAGGAGAGAGATAAAAATAAAGGGGTTTTGAGTGGTCCTATGTAAGAGATTAAAAATTTAATTAAATTGATTTATATTTGTTAAATATGTTTAAGATAATAAATTTACTAAAAATAGAAATGAGTCATCTTTAATGGGAAGGACAAAAGAAAAAAAAAGGAGTCATCTATCGCCAAACGAGGAAGTATATCTTTTTCATTTTTATAAAAAAACACATTTTATTTTTTTTATTAATTTTTATTTTCATGTTTATTATTTGTCAATATTTTAATTTATTAATAATTTATTGAAACAAAAATATATATTATTATTTAATTAAGTCTAGTTTGACCTTATTTTTAATTTTCAATTTTGTTATCAAATTAGTTTTTGTATTGTATTTTTATTATTATAATTATTATTAATTAACAGATAAAAATAAAATATAGAGATAATAATTAAATTTTTTTAAGGGAATAACAATTTATAATTACAATAGAAATATAAATAAACACCATAATTATTCATTTAATTAAACTTTTGCCATACATTTAATTTTAACAAAATCTGTTTTTTGAGTAGCTGATGTACTCCTCTATCTCGAAGCCACATTCTATTTCTTAAAAACTCCATCATTTTGGCATGTCAATCTACATATTATGGTTAATTTGAATTACTAATATTATCTACCATATTTGTTCAAATTGGGATAAATCATAATAATACTGATATGTATCTCTTTCATCTTCAATGATTATATTATGCAAAATTATACATGTCTTAATTATCTTACCAATTAAACCAAATGAGTGTCGGATATTGAATAATAGAAAATTGAACTTACAAAACACCAAAAGCGCATTTTACATCCTTTCGAGCCGCTTATTGACGTTGTGAAAATAATTGTATCTTAAGTCTTTGAGGTAGACAAATAGATTGGATAAATGTCGCTCATGAGGGATATATTTTATTAATAAGATAATACTCCATATTATATTGGTACTTATTGACAATAAAATTTACTTTTAAACTTCTACCATTTAAAAGGCCATTAAAAATCTGAAATTGATCAAGTATATTAATGTATTGCATGTACCTGGTGCTCCGAAAAAAGAAAATATCAAATTTATATATCATACGATGCCACAACTTCTAATACGATCGTTGATTTGTCATTATCTCAATAAATTTACTTTTAAACTTTTGCCATTTAAAAGGCCATTAAAAATTTGATATTGATCAAGTATATTAATGTATTGTATGTACCTGGTGCTCTGAAAAAAAAAAATGTCAAATTTATAGATCATACGATACCACAATTTCTAATACAATAATTGGTTTGTCATTATCTCCACGTAAAAATTGGCATTTCCAAGCAATTAGACAATTTTTCCACTCCCAATACATGCAATCAATACTTCTCATCATTTTTTGGAAAACCACATTTTTTTTGCAACATATAACAATCATGGTAGGTCAATTGCATATGATCTTCTTAAATATTCCTCACAAAATAATGAAATGACTCATTCAACAAACTTTTTTACACACGTTCTTGTGCTATCTCCAATACGAATATAGTCATCTACTATATCAACAATTACACCAAACGTCAACAAGGACAAAACAGCTGTGCATTTTTGTAATGACAATAGATCAAGTCTTCCCATTGCAACTCGACGTTGTTGGAAGAACTCACTTATTTTTGTTAGATGATCTACGTTGCGCAGAAAGACATGTTTCCTCGTTCAAAATTTACAAAGAAATTAAAAATATGCATATACAAGAATTTCAGAAAAAATAATCGTTAAGAAAACAATTATGCCATTATTCATTATTCCTATCGATTTATGTTTTTCAACGAGATTGATTTTCCTCTTCATTGTTTATGATAATATCTTGAAAACGTTGAAATTACACAAACAAATCAAAAGAAACTGCGTCCTCCTCATCAGAGTTGAAACTTGAAATAGTTCGAGATGAGTTTGATATTTTTTGTAACAAAAATATTTGTTAAAAATATTTTTTGAAATTAATAATATAGTGTATAAAAATTTTGCGAATATATAATATTTATAATTTATATTATATGAAATAAATAATATGGTAATAGTAATGATGTGACATAATAATAAAATAAATTTTAAAAATATGTAAATAAGTAATACAATAATAAAGTTATTTGCAACAAATTTGATGATACACAATAATAATGATGAGATTAAATAATGTCAGTGTGTTTAAAGCTATCTAATACAATGATAAAGTGTGATGTGATATAACAACGCAATCTATAAAGATTAAGAAACAAAAATTGAAATTATTGATCACTATTACAATGACATACAATTAAATTTATATGATTTAGTAATGCAATTAATAAAGTTTAAGAAGACAAAAATTGAAATGATTGATCACTAGTACAATAACACACAAATACTATGATGTGATATAACAATATATTTAATAAAGTTTAAAAAGATAAAATTTGAAATGATTAATCACAACTGCAATGATGTAAAATTACATTAATATGATTTAACAATACAAGTATATCCAACATATTATATATGAAAAAATTGTATAACTTATACAGTGTGATTGTTTCTATAAATACGGTTACACTTTACAAATGAAAACAAACAAACTTTTCGAAAATTTTTATTTTTCTAAGTCCTATTATTCTCTCATACTTAACATTCCACATTCAAGTTTAAACAATGAAGACGCCACCACACCAAATTAAAAAATAAAACAAACTGAAAACTATCAATGGCGAAGGTAGGGAAGCTCATCAGAATTAAGTCAATGCTGAAAAAGATGCAGCCCTTCAAGCTCGGCCCTACCAATTATAGCTCAATAATAGTTGGTAATTTTTTCAACGAGTGCTCATCCAAGGATCTCCACGGCATCTACATCGGCAAATCGCAGCGGCACTACCTCGTGACTTCCGAAGTGATGGAGAATCCGCTCTTTCTCGAGCTCTCCGAGCACGGCGGAGATAAGTCGTTGATAACTATCGGATGCGAGGTGGTTCTGTTTGATCACCTTTGGTGGATGCTCGATAACTCCGATCCACATCCGAAGTTGCTGGATGAGCTCGTCGAGTTCTACTTGTGCTAGTCGCGCTGCATTGCCGACGAGGGGAGTGATTGCGTGCGGACATCCACATTGTACGGTCACGGTCTATATATAACAATTATATTGTATCAATGTATGTATGTATGTATCAGCTGAATGTTTTGTTTTTTTCCCTTTTGTCAATAATCTGATTGATTGACGGTGTAGATTTGTAGTTCGAAGCCTGAGGAAGAGATTTGTCCGTTGATTCAAGGAAAAAAAAAGAGTTTCAACAATGAAGTCAAACTTTAAAAAATCTTCAAATTAACAAAAATTCTTTTCATTTCAAAGTTTTACAAATATTCTTGAAAATCAATAGTGTTCACAAAACTCTTTCAACTTTAATTTTTCTCAAATTTTTCAAACTTTTATCCCAAATTTATACGCTTCATATTCTTCTATTTTTAAACACTACTATTATCCTCAAAATGTTCAATCTTTTGAAAGTATATCATATCCACAAAAATTTCAATTATTTGGGGATTATATTCCACGGCGTCTACATCGGCAAATCGCAACGGCACTACCTCGTGACTTCCGAAGTGGTGGAGAACGCTCTTTCTCGAGCTCTCCGAGCGCGGTGGAGATGAGTCGTTGATAACTATCAGATACGAGGTTGTTATGTTTGAGCACCTTTGGTGGATGCTCGAGAACTCTGATCCGCAGCCGAAGTCGCTGGACGAGCTCGTCGAGTTCTACTTGTGCTAGCTGCGCTGCATCGCTGACGAGGGGAGCGATTGCGTGCGGATGTCCACATTGTACGGTCACGGTCTATATATAACAATTATATTGTATCAATGTATATATGTATCAGATGGATGCTTTTTTTTTTTCTCTTTTGTCAATAATCCGATTGATTGACGGTGTAGATTTGTAGTTCAAAGCCTGAGGAAGATATTTGTCCGTTGATTCAAGAAAAAAAAGTTTCAACAATGAAGTCAAACTTTAAAAAATCCTCAAATTAACAAAAATTCTTTCCATTTCAAAGTTCTACAAACATTCTTGAAAATAAATAATGTTCACAAAACTTTTTCAACTTTAATTTTTTTCAAACTTTTCAAACTTTTATCCCAAATTTCTACGCTTCATATTCTTCTATTTTTAAACACTACTATTATCCTCAAAATGTTCAATCTTTTGAAAATATATCATATCCACAAAAATTTCAATTATTTGGGGATTATTCCAATCCTTAAAATTTTCAATCATTTCAAGTTTCATTTTATCTCTTATCGATGCGTTTTACACAAAATACACGAATGAAAAGTATTCCTGAATTTTCCACATTAGACAATGAAAATATGCAAATTATTGCCCCAACCACAGATATCAAAAGAAAGTGGACATATAAAGGAGATTTACTTTTTATTAATGGATAACTTAGCACAAACAATTATTCACTAATAGACACTAATAGAAAAATACTACTTTATGGAATAGAATTATTCAATATTTTAATGATAATATATTTAAATTAGTGGTTTCAAAAAGTGTAAACAAATGCAAGAATCGTTAACAAAAGATAAATGAAGCCGTTTCATAATTTGTTAGGTGTTTTGAACAAACTAACTAACAAAGAATAAGCTGAGAATCCATTGATTATGTCTTGAATTAGGCACATCAAATATATTATGAAAATTGTAGCAAATTATTTAATTATGAACACACTTTCCGTGAATTAAAACTCGAGCTAAAATGGGGTATTAGTCATTGTGTTTTACAAAAGTCATCATTTTCTCTAGTCGTGCGTTATTTATATGCGACGACCGTTCGACGCGCGGTCGAAGGAAAAAATGACAACTTTTCAAAACGTGTAGGATATATTTTGCCAGCGAGATAAATAAATGACAAAAGTAATAATGGAGTATGCTTGGAAGATATTTTTTTACAAATTTTATGTGGATAACTATAGCGAACTTCATGAATATAAGTTGTGGTCTTTCGACCACTTTTCCATTAATGGAAATAAAGTTGCAATCAAAGTCTCTATCGTATATCATCTCCTTATTAAGACGGCTCAAATTCTGTTAAAAGAAAAACAAAGATGAATTAATGAACCAAATCAAAATACACAATTGCACATTTTAGTAGAAAAAATGTAACTAAATAAATGTTAGAGAGAAAAATGAATAAATGAAACTTTCATAATGCTTTTCGTCTTTATAATTTGTGATAACATTTTGAAAACGTTGAAATTGCATACGCAAAATGAAAGAAACCGCATCATTCTCACCAGAGTCGAAACTTGAAATAGTTTGAAATGAGTTTGATATTTTTTGTAACAAAATTGTTTGTTACAAATATTTTTTGAAATGAAATATAGTATAGAAATTTTGCCAATATAGAATATTTATAGTTTATATTACATGAAATAAATACTATGGTAATAGTATTGATGTGAAATAATAATATATATATTTTAAAATATGTAAATAAGTAGTGTACAATAATATAGTTATTTGCAAAAAAAATTGATAACGCACATAATAAAAGTGATGTGTTTAAATAATGCAGGCGTGTTTAAAGTTATCTAGTACAATGATAAAGTCTGATGTAATCTAACAATACAGTCAACAAAGATCAAGTAGACAAAGATTGAAATGATTTATTATTATTACAATGACATATAATTAAATTTATGAATTTTAATAATGCTGTTAATAAAGTTCAACAAGACTATAATTGAAATGATTGATTACTACTATAATGAGACACAAATACAATGATATGATATAACAATACATTCAATAAAGTTTAACAAGATAAAACTTAAAAAAAATAATTACTAGTACAATGATATACAAGTAAATGGATATGATTTAACAATACATGTATATCCAACACATACTATATGAAAATAATATATAAATTATAGTGTGTAATTTTTTCTATAAATATGATTGTATTTTACAAAAAAAAAACACACAAACTTTTTAATGATTTTTTATTTTTCTAGGCTATATTATTTTTTCATACTTAACACCCCACCATCAAGTTTCAACAATAAAGGCAAACTCTAAACAATCTTCAAATTAACAAAATTTCTTATCATTTCAAAGTTTTACGAACATTGTTGGAAATCAATAATATTTTACAAAATTCTTTCAACTCTAATGTTTCCGAAAATTTTCAAACTCCAATCCCAACTTTCTATACTTCATCATATTCTTTTATTTTTCAACACTACTATTATCCTAAAAATTTCAACCTTTTGAAGTTTATCATATTCTCAAAATTTTCAATTATTTGGATGTTATTCTAATTCTCAAATTTTTAAATCATCTCAATGTTTATTATATCTCTCATTGATGGTTTTTACATAAAATACACAAATGAAAAGAATTTATTAATTTTCCACACTAGACAATCAACAACATGAAGATAATTTGCAAATTATTACCACAACGACAGAGATCAAAAGAACTATACATCAAAAGAAGATTTACTTCTTATTAATGGATAGCATAGTACAAACATATATACACTAATAGTCACTGACAAAAATCTAATACCTTTTGTAATAGAATTCTTAATATTTTAGTAATACTAAACAATAGTGTCAAAAAGTGTAAGCAAATGCAATAATCGTTGGAAAAAGATAAAATAGAGTTGTTTAAAAAACAAAATTGGTGCTTCGAACAAATTAACCAACAAAAAAGAAATGAAAATCCATTGATGATGCCTTGACAGTCAACAAGATAAAGATAATATGAAAATTATTGCCCCAACGACAGAGATAAAAATAAAGTAAACATGTGAAGAAAATTTACTTCTTATTAGTGCATAGCTTAGCACAAGTAAATATGCACTAATAGACACCGACAAAAAAAATACTACTTTCTAAAATAAAATCTGTCATTATTTTATTTATAATAAATCCTAAGTATTAGTGTAAAAAAGTTTTAAAACAATGTAAGAATTGTTGGCAAAAGATAAATGAAGTCATTTCAATTTTTTTTTTTTTTTTTTTTGTGCTTTGAACAAAGTAACCAACAAAAAATAAGCTGAGAATCCATTGTTGATGTCTTGAATTAGGCATGAAAAATATATTATGCAAATTTTAGCAAATTATTTATTTATGAACACACTTGGCGTGTATTAAAACTCGAGCTAAAATGGGGTGCTAGTCATTATCCTTTACAAAAGTCATTGTTTTTGTCCTCCAACCACGCGTTATTTATATGCGATGATTGTTCCACACGTGGCCGGAGAAAAACAATTATGACTTTTTAAAATATATAGGCTATATTTTCCCACTTAGATAAATAAATGAGAAAAAAAGTGATAGTGGAAATTTATATAGAAGATATTTTTTGCAAATTTTCCGCGGATGCTTATAGCGACCCTCATGAACATATGTTGTGGCATTTCGACCACTTTCCCATTAATGGTAAGCAAATATGATTTCTCTAATGTGTTGAAGGAAATAAAGTTGCAATTAAAGTCTCTATCGTATATGATCTCCCTGTCAAGACGGCTCGAATTATGTTAAAAGAAAATCAAAGCCGCATTAATAAGTCAAATCAAAATACAAAATTGCATATTTTAGTATAAAAATATGTCACTAAATTAATGTTAGAGAGAAAAATGAACAAATGAAACATTTATAATGTTTTCATGCACATCGTCTGAAATAAGTTGAGCCTTAAGTCTCAATTCCACATTAACATTTTCGTACAAGTCTTTTATTTTGTGCAACACAATATTATATAATAACAAAACAACCGTACGTAATAAAACAGAGGACAAAAAATACAAAAAATAAAGGAAGATTGGTTACTTTTCTGAGAATGATTTTTTGGTGAATCTGTGAAGATTTGATACCGCAATCCTTATGTCAACTACATCATATCAAATCAATTTTTAGTACATCATTCTAACGTAATATCATAAATACCAATTGTATTTAGCCCACAAACACAAACACACCCATAATAATTCACATGAATCATAACACCCTATCTTTTAGTTTCAACAATGAATGCAAACTCTAAAAAATTTTG